CTTAGACTAAATTGAACAAAACATTTAAGTAGCCCCATTATTTCAAAAGATACACAGTAGTGTGTATGTTTGTGTATGTATTATTATTATTATTATTATTATTAAGACAGGGTCTTGCTATGTAGTTCACATGGTCTTGAACAATCTGCCTGCCTTTGCCTCCCAAGTGCTGGGATTACAGTGGTGCACTGCCACACCCAGATTACTAGATATATTTTATAAGGATTCTTAAGGCAAAATGAAAGCCATTTCAGAGCTTGTACAATAAAAATAAAGAACAGAGATTTTGCAAGTATCAAGTATTCCATTTTTTTTTCTGTACTTGTGGAATGAGTTTTGGGGATATTTGAGATTACAAAAGAAAGTCTATGACTCTCTTAAGACCATGAGGCTGCAATCAGGCACAGGGGCTGTGGTTCAATCCCCAGGCCTGCAGTGCTGGCCTTGCCCCCGGGGTGTGCTGAGATGCCGATTGAGACTGGGCATGGTGGTGCACACCAGTAATCCCAGCTCTTGGAAGGCTCTAACCAGGCAGATCACTACGAGTCTGATCTACTAGTGAGAGCCTGAACACCCTGTAGAACTTTCTCTAAAATACTAAATAAATAAATAGTAAAATAAAATTAAGACCATGAAAGTAAACATAATTGCTGCTGAAACTGATCTGGAATCTTTTTCCTGTTGTTTAGCTATTATTTCAGCACATATGATTTTCTCTATTTCCTCTGACCTTTCATTTTATGTCTGAAATTAAGCTCCTTAAAGGACATTTCAAGCTGCATAAAGGACATTTCCTTTTCAAACCTTCCTGCACCTTTATGTTTCCTTTCCCCATATTTCTCCCCTCAATTTGCCTCTTCTTATTCCCTTGTGATAGAGACTACTGAAGTGGGAGTCAGTACATTGGCCCTTGTTTTTAGCTGTTCATTGGCTATCTCATGTTCCAAATGGTGTTAGCATTTGTCCCACTTTGATAGCTTAATTTGAATAATCTGTGATTTTGATGCCTTTCTAAATCAACCGCTTAGCCAGGTTTTGTGACCTTATTTAAGAAACACTTGTCCCCTTAGAAATGACCAATGGCAAGTAGAAAAAATCCATGTTTACTTGGAGTCCAGTTTGTCAAGGTAAGTGCAGGGAAGATACTGGAGCATATGGGGAGACTAGTTTGTCTATGAAAGTTTTATCAAAACAGTAGGTTTTAGTTCAGGATGGGAAGCAAGGCTGACTGGAAGGTGAGTGGAAGTTGGGGAAAAAACAGCAGGTGGAGGGAATTTCAGATACCTAAACTCAATAGTCTCACTCTTCTCTAATTTCCTAGCCCAAATGTCAAGTCTAATCCATGTTCATTTGGAACTGAAAAGACAAGATGATTTCTGATTTGCCTTCATACAACTCCTGAACTCAAAACTGTTAGCAGACAACTTAATTTCGACTTATCTACTTAACTTTATCTATCTGGCCTCCATAATGTTCTTTTGAGATTATGCCATCAAAATCTTCTGATCAACTGAGTAATCATTATGTCAATCCTAAGACTTTCACGTGTTTTCTATTTTTCAGAGTTTGACTAAGGTACAACTGGTGGGGACCATTAAATTTGTTCTTCTTTCAGAATTATCTAAGGAAATCTTTTTGGAAGTTCTATTTGTACTTATTTGGAGTACTGGTTCAAAATGATTTGTAAGGTGTGTGGGATATTTATAAAATAAAGTTGGGAATGACATGGTCTGTCCAAGTGAGGACTTTCCCCAAGAATCCAGTTCTCTGTTATTACTAAGGTTTGTTAACACATAGCTATAAAGAGATGCTTTCTCCTCCTTTAATTGAAGAAAACATCTACTGTACAAGATTATAGGTTATTCACATTTGTATTGCTAGTCTATAAGAAGCAAATTCTGGTAATAACAGAAATAGATTAAACGTTTGGATCTTTGTAAGGCTATGTTTGATAAAATCAGAAGTTTTAGAGTGCCTCAATATGTTTATCAACATTCATAGATAACTTTAAGGCAAGAGTGTCGATAAACTATGTGTTAATTGGCTCTATTGAGATTGGCTGGTTACTTAGCACAGGGCATTTTTATTCCTGGGAAAAGAACTCAGCTGTTCCTTGTACTAATGCTTTTATTATAATTTTCAAATCTCCTTAGTTCCACCTTTTCATATTATGTTCATGTAGCATATACTAGACTTTCAATTACCATTAAAATCATAACACAGCACTAGACAAAAAATGCTGCATTTAGAGAATGTCCAGAATGTCTCTTACTTTTTTTTTTTTTTTTTTGCGGAACTGGGGATTGAACTCAGGCCCTTGTGTTTGCCAGGGAAGCATTTATTCTACTGAGCCATCTCCCCAGCCCCTTGTCTCTTACTTTTTCTTGTATGTAGTAAATGTGTTTTCTGAATAATCTGCACATAATTCTTGTCCCTTCTTAATGAAAGAAGATAATTCCTTCTTTAGTTCAGAAACCTGTTAAAAATAATAATATCATTAAAAAATCCATTATCTTGAAACACTGACCCATGAGGCTACTAAATCAGAATTCATTATTTCATCCACACCAGGTATTGGAAGCATTTTCTGTATAAGCCAGACTGTATTATTTAACCCTTTGAAGGCTATATATGTTCTCCATTATGCCTACTCGCTGCTGGACAAAAGTAGTCCTGAACAATATATACATGATGAGGACAGCTATATTCCAGAGAAACCTTATAATTATCACTGAAATTTGAAGTTCATTTAAGTTTCATGTGTCATGAATTTTTCATCTAGGTTTTTTTTTTTTTTTAAATAAATTGTACATTTCATACAGGATCTCACTACGCAGCTCAGACTTGTAGTGATCCTCCTAATTTCAGCCTCTCAGCACTGGGATTACACCACACCTGGACACGATGGCAGGCTCCATGAGCCCTGCAGTGGGGCTGGTGCAGCATGTTGTGCTGGGGAAAGAACTTTAATTTAGTCCCTGCACTTGCCTAATTAGGTGCTTAGCCCACTAATGTATCTCACTGGCCCTTGCATCTACTTTGATTGTTTTTTTTTCCCAGTAATTAAGACATTTTCTTTTCTATCCTGAGGCCATGAGAAAGTCCTAGTAGCCCATGAATTGCAGTTTAACAATCCTTGATTGATGTGGTTGATAAAGAAACTCTCGAACAGTATACCTTGTCAGTAAAGCAGGTAGAAGAGTCGTCGGCATCGCAGCATTCATTAAGACTTTTCAGATTTGGTTCCAGTATTTTGCTGAGGAATATTTCTGGAATAGGAGTCCTTCTGCTCAGTTCAAATGTGTACCTGGCACAAGGAAGAAAATAAGTAGTACTATTTAAGCATATGTAGGTGTGTCTATGTGTTCATGTTCTGAAAAGAGTCACACTTATGACAAAGGAGAGCCCTTGTGCATCTTAAGAGATTGAAACAAAACAATAAAAATCAACATGCTTTAGATTATATAATAATTTCATTAAAACAGTTACTAATACTTTGAAGTCTATAATATATTTATGTATTGCACAAATAAATACAATACAAAATATAATGTGGCTTATATGTAATATATAAATATATTATATAAATATATAAAAACATTTTAAAACTACTATGGAACTATATTTTGTAATATAATTGATCATATAGGTAACATTGAGTATTTTATACAAATTTCGTGTAAAAAAGTTTGTGTAAACTTTTTATCTCTTTTATCCCACACTTTGCTATGTGCTTATAAAAATAGTATTTATAAGAAAAAAATGTGAACTAAAGGTTTAGCTCTATCTAAGTTCTGCTCTCTAATATTGGGAAATGATACCCTAAATTACTGCTATATTTGTGAAATTATTTTTAATTTTTTATATTTTATTTTTATTAGTTTTCTTGAGAAACAAATAACAATGAGACAATTTCAAAACAGGTTAGTAGGACAGCTACAATAATATATTGCATATTTTTTTCTTCATAGTAAATTAAGAGAAAGTAGCTGTTTAATCTATCCTAATTATAAAAAGCAGGGGTAGCAATACTGTTCTCAGACAGTCTCAACCTCAAACCAAGAATGATTGAAAGAAAGGAAAAAGGGCACTACATATTGATTAGGGGAAAAATTCAAGAGGAGAGGTAACACCAAATATGTATGCACCAAACTCTAGAGCACCCAACTATATAAGACAAATCTTAATCGACATAAAAATCTAATATCCAATACCACAATCTTAACAGAAGACCTTAACACCACCTTATTTCTAAAAGATAGGTCAAGCAGACAAAAAATTAGCAAAGAAGTAGCAGAACTGAACCAGAGTTTGAAACAAATGGACCTCGTGGACATACATAGAGTGCTCACCCAACCACAGGTGAATACACATTTTTTTCAGCTGCACATGGGTCATTTTCTAAAATAGACCACATACTAGTCTTTAGGTCATGCCTAAGTATATGCAAGGAGACAGAATTTATCCCATGCATATTGTGTGACCACAGTGCAATAAAACTGGAAATAAATGTCAAAAGAAACCAGAGAAACTCCATAAATACGTGGAAATCAAACACCCTCCTCAACAATCTGTAAAATGTTTTTATGCTGAGTATTTATGCTGAATGTGTTTTCATAGTAGATGCGATCCATGGTGTATCTACCTTATGGCTCTTTATATAGTTAGGTAGAACAAAAGAAAGATATTTCTCCACATTTAAATTCTTTTTACATTCGGTGATAGTGAAATATAAGTAATATGATAAAACTAGTTAGTATGTGATAAACATTTTCATCATACTGTATTTTATGAGAGGGTTTCTTTATTTTTTCCTTTTTTGTACCAGGGATCAAACCCAGGACTTTGCACTTGCTAGGCAGGTGCTTATGATGCTGAGTCATCTTCCTGGCTAAGATTAGGGAATTTTATTCTGTAAGAATCTTTCATAAGAGTGGTGAATTTTACTTCCACTTGCATTTTTACACGTATTTCTTATTGGCAACCTGTGCACTCAGGTAACATTATCATTGACAAATGAAATAAGGATAGGTTATATTTCAGAAAGATCAGGCCACTTCTTTCTCCATGCATGCACAGTATTCAGAGTGGTGAAATCTGGAATTCCGAGTTTGTTTCCTTATATAGAAATCTTCTTGTTAAACTTGATTGTTCTTTATTTAAAACAGACTACTCAGTTTTTAAATTTTGAGAAAATTTAAATCAATTAACAAATACTTTACAGCCCATAAGTTCATATGAAGAACTTTGCCTGTGTTTGAAGTGAGTCACAGCATACCTTCCCTCAGCCAGGCTTTCATCCAGTTCTAGGTATAGCAAGAGCACCTCCCAGAGTACCACTACTTACTGATCCAAAGCTTTGGTGTTTTTTTGCCCACACACTTCTGTATTTGTGGGCATCTCAATGGATGGCAGCTCTGGTACAGGGGCAGCTGGCATGAAGTATATGCATGTAAAAATGCTCAAGGGCGTTTCTTCTTGACAACATTCTTCCAACTTTGAATTTCTCTTGGATAGTTTATCACAGACTGTTACTGTATATTCAGGCAGCTACCAAAAGAAAAGTCAATATTTGTGTTGTTTTTTGCTTTGGTAGAATTATTAAAATTAAGACTTCATTTTATAAGTCTTAGAAGCATATTTTAAAAAGCTAATGTTAGTGTTCTTATTTAAGTAAAAATGTGAAGTATGTGGAGAATAAATGAGACACATGTCATAGAGATGTACAACAGAGTCCTAGTTAGTCTTATACATTATGATAAAAAGCATCTATTAACATAGTCATACACTGTTGATGGAACTAAACCAGACAACACAAGATATATATTACTAAGGAGGCAAACAAGATATTGAAAACTGACCTTAATCTAAAGCAGTTAGTCAAATTGGTATCTACTTGAGAAAATTACACAAACTAAAATATTGGAAATATTTGAGATGCCTACCAAATTGTAAAAAATAGTAAAAACATTAATAATAGTCTCTAATAGTGTAATGGTCTCAATGCTAATAGGACTTCATACAGTAATGAAATGATCTATTTCTACACTATCCAGTACTATTATGCATTTGATATGTGTCTAGTATGAGTGAAGAACTGAGTTTAAGTTATATTCAATATATATTCAATTTGAATTATAAAATTTAAATAATTGCGTCTGGTTAATGGATATTATATAGACATTACATGTAGAGTATGAGTTTGGGAATCAGTTGACCTTGTCCTTTTATGTTGACTCTGTCTCTTAAAATCTGTTCAATTTCAGATTATTGGAACTTGTTCATCTTTCTTTATAAAGTTAAGGAGATAATGCATATGAAAAGTAGCTCAGAAGCATATCTGCCAGTTGGACCATCTATGCAGTATTGCAGACAACAATGTTCAGGACAAATACCTTACCTCTTTGGCAATGCAGTCCTCAGAGGTAGACTCACAACATTTGGAGAGGATTGTAGTGATGTCTCTAGCTAGTGGCAAAACATCCTCCAAATCAGCGGTAGGTACTTTCTGGGATAATTTTATGAGATGACTAAAGAGTTAAAAATGAATTTATTAGATATTATTAAATTTTTTTAAGAACTGTGAAAATACTTCCCCAATTTTTATGTAGAGTGAAAAAGCTTAATGGACATCTACAATATTTTTGGCTTGTAAAACTTCATTCGCATTAAACACTGAACTTTTGCCCCAACCCTATTTTCTGTCAATAAGCTATCTACTCTCTTTTTGCAATTTTAAATAATTTAGGTACTTTATATGATTGGAATTGTGTAGCATTTGTACTTCATTAACTGGCTTATTACCTAACATCATACTTTCAAGATTCATCAATGTCATAGCATGTGATGGCATTACTTATTTTAATATTACCAAGTATTCACTTCCATCCCTTGGTCATTGTGAAGAATGCTACAATGAACATGGAAATATAAATATATATAGTGATAATAACATAGGATGTGCTTAAATTTCATAAGAATTACAGTAAAAGACATACTGACATGAATCCCCTTCACAATCCTCCTCCCCCTCACTCCAAATACTCTCATAATTCTTGACACTTTCTGAAACAGATCTGGAAGTCTTTTTATTTGTCTTTAACTGTGCCATCCTGGGTGCTTCTGTGCCTGAATTAATTCAAGCCACTTAGCTTTTTTAGTCACTTTGACTTTTGGGAAAGAGCCAGGCATCTCAGAATTTCTGTTTCAGTGCATAAGTCACAAGAGACATACTGTTATCTTTGTGTGAGTCTGCATTTCTTTACCTGTCCCTCAGTAGCAGCATGCAGCATATTTGTGATTATATCTTCTAAAGACTTATGAAGGAGGACTTTCAGGACTGATATAGAAAGTTGCAAGAACAATGGGATAGGGGATTTCTGAGACAAGGAAAGTACTTTGAGGGGATAAACATTAATGAACCTTTTACTGTAATACACCTGAAAGATTTAAATGTTTGCTGCGTGTATCATTCACTCCTTGTATTTCCTTTTCTCTCAGTTGAATGTACCCTTTAGGCAGAAGTTTTAATATTTGATATGGTTCCCATTTCCTTGAACTTCTTGACCAATCTTTGGTGTCACATCCAAAGAATCATTTCCCCATGCAGTACTCTGAAAAAATTCCCCTATATTTTCTTTTTTATAGTTTGTATCTTGTATTCAGGTCTCCAATTTATTTTATTTTATTTTATCTTTTTTGCAGAACCGGGGATTGAACTCAGGCCCTTGCCTTTGTCAGGAAGCACTTATTCCACTGAGCCATCTTTCCAGCCCCTTCAATTTCTTTTTGAGTTCACTTTTGCATATGGTATAATGAAAGGACACCGCTTCATTTTTATGCCTGTGGATATTCAGGTTTCTCAACATTACTTGTTGAAGATACTCTTTTCTTCATTGAGTACTTCTGATACTCCCATGATACATAAAAATGTTTTATGTCTGGGCTCTTTATTCTATTCCATTGCTTTATTTATTTATTTATTTATTTAGTTATTTATATTTATGTATTTGGTACAGGGTCTCAATATACAGCTTGGACTTGTAGTGGTCTTCCTGTTTTCAGCCTCCCCAGCACTAGGATTACAGGCATAGGTCTCAGTGGCTGGCTCAGCATGACTGGGGGCGGGGCGGGCACAGTATGTGGTGCCAGGGATCAAACCCTGGTCTCTGCACTTGCCTAAGCAGGTGATCAGTCCACTGAGCTCTCTCGCTGGCTTTTCCTTTGGTCTATTCATCTGACTTCCCTACCAACATCACATATCTTAAGTATTGTTACTCTCAAGAATATTTTGTGATTAAGAAATTTTAATCTCTCTACTTTACTCTTTTTCAAACTTTCTTTGGTACCGTGAGAGTGTCTTTTAGTTTTTTCAGATGGTGCTAGATCTTCAATGTCCCAGGGTCCTGGTGTTGGGATGTGGTTAAGTTCTTAAGAGTTGAGGCCTAGGGAGAGGTCTGTAGGTTACGGGGGACATACCAACCAAGGGAGTAATAAAACACAAGCCCTCTTTCTCTTGAACCTTCTGGATATAAAGTAAGCGGCCTACTTCGCTATGTGCTCCTGCCATACTGTGGCATCTCTGCCCCAAAACCACTGGGACGACCAAGAACAGACAGAAACCTCTATAATTGTAAGCCAACAAAAGCCTGTTGCCTTTATAAGTTGATTAGTTCAGGTATTTTTTAAAATAGTAAAAACTAACAGATATTTTTTTCTGTTTTGAACAAACATGTTTTTGTCAAAGATTCAATTAGGTAAGCAGATTGACTTTAGTAGGGATATTGTAACAGTATTAAGTTTTTCAAAGCACAAGCAAAAGATATTTTCCATTTGTTGCATTTTCCCTTCACTTTTATAGAGCAGTGCTTTGCATTGTTTACTAAGCACTCTTTATAGTATAATTTTGACAAACTGTGGTATTCTTTTATATTTATGTGCTGTAGCTTGAACATTTTCTATCCTATCGCTATTTAGATAGTCTACAATTTTTTTCTTATCAAACATATAGCATTATTTTTTAGCTTAAAATTTGTTCAAGGGAAATGTATTTCTTTTTCCTTAGTACACATTTACAGTGTGTCATGTTTACAATACTTGTGGGCAGTTGGAACATGTACATCTAAATTCCTTTCTTCATCTTTTCTCTCTCCTTATCCTGCACTTTCTTTCATCTCTTGATTGTTTTCTCATTTGACAAAAATATTTCTCTGTAGTAAATTCTTTATCACTAATGCAAGTATAGAGTAATAATTATGCAGTATATGCAGTGACTATTTTATTATAAATTTTTATGTTCTACTTACCCAATGCACTATTTCAATGAAAAAGATAAACTTAAACAATTGCTAAATGCATGACAAGAGGCCCAGGTCTAGTTTTGGGTTCTGGCAAGTGAAGAGCCAGTTTTTCCAGCACCATTAATTAAAGAGGCTATCTTTCTTCCAGTGCACATGTTTGGCATCTTTGTCAAAGATAAGATTCCTAAGTGTGCTTGAAGTTGTGTTAGAGTCTTCTAATACATTCCAATGATCCTTGGGTATATTTTTAGCCAGTATCATGCTGATTTTATTACAGTAGCTTTGTAGTCTGCATGCTGATATTGGCAATCTGAGCAACTACATCAAGGACAGCAATGTATAAAATAAAAGCCATGTTTTAATGCCGCTTGTATTTGTCTTATAATTGTTTACTGTTTCAAATATATCAATTATTATACTCTCTTTAAAATAAATTGAATAAAAAAGACATGGAGAAAAATTAAGATTTCTTGAAAGCAAGCTCCAATATTCAATTATTTCCTAAACATGTATAACTATATCTGTTAACCTGAGCAACAGATTTGATGATAAAAGTAGATAATATAACAACCATTGTTAATTAGCTATTTGTGTTTTGAAAATTTATAACATTTATTATTATTATTATTATTATTATTATTATTATTACTATTGTTATTATTGGAACCATGGATTGAACTCAGGCTCTTGCACTTGCCAGGAAAGCACTTATTCTACTGAGCTATCTCCCTGGCCCCCAATAACATGCATTACTCTATGTTACTCTGTTTCTGTATTTTTCCTATTTGTTTTTGCTTCTGTTTTTACTCTTGAAAATAAAATAAAATTACATTAAAAAACAAGTTGTAAAAAAATGTCACTGAGTATTTGAATAGTTCTGTGGTAGTCTTTGTTCTACCACAGAATGTTTTTACAAACATCATTCAGAGAACACTAGTATGATAGATGGTGCAGAACAAAACTTCTAAACCTGATTGTGCTTAGTCTTTACCTGATCCTTGATTTCTCTTTTCCATACACAGCATATTGTGAACAGACTCGATTTGACATAGTGGTCAGGAGAGATAAGTGTCTAATCTGGAGTCTCTAAAGATAAGCAAGAAGATCATTAGAAGGTCGAGATGCGCTAGAAACAATGTACACAAACAGCAATCATAGATATTAATTTCATTATATTTTTGATGAATGGAAAACTGAACACCTACTAAGGGGACTTATTGATACTCCCTTTCCAGAAGTGCCATATTTATTCCCCAATTAATGAAATCTTTATGCAGGCATTTCAGAAAGTTTTCTTGATTGCAAAATTATATGAAGAATAAACATAGAATATAACTATGTAATAAATGAAACCTACTTCTTTCAAAAAGCACAGTGTTGGACTGGGGGAGGTGCAGCAGGACCCAACCATAGAGAGATAATTCTTTGTGTAACCAAGTAAAAGTGCTAGTGGAACTTGTCCATAATTACTGGAGTATTCATACAGAAATCTGTGGGAGGAAAACAGGATCAATTAAATAATTTGTAGGAAATGAAAACAGCACTTCATGCATACTTTATGAAGAAATGATATGGGTTTATAATTTTACTGTTTAAAAAGCACTAAGAATTTACAGAAAGAAGTATAATAATAATAAGCTTCTCTCCTGCAGGTTCAACAACCTAAGTTTGCAGACTAAAAATTAGAGAAAAAGAAGGGTCACAAGGAAAGCCAACATTTTGGCCCTAGCCTTTCAAGTTCAGTGAAGACTCAGGACATAGGAGAACCTGTACTGTAACATCATGTGACTCAGTTGTGTCCCAAATTTTCTGATCAAGGAGATTATGGGGCCACAAAGGAAAGTAATCGACTATGTGGGTGTGCCTAGGGAGAGTCACATGGAGAGAAAGCATTCTCTCAGGCTTTCACAGAGAACAAATTGCTCAAGCATTGGCCTGAGTCATCCACATGACTGACACTGACAAAGGATCTAGAAGGTGTGGTACAGTGTTTCAGGATAAATCCTGAGGGAATTTTACTCAAGTTATCAGATACAAAAGTTGTAATTCTTGTTATACAGGGCTTGCTTTATCTTGATCTTAACCATCCAACAGAAAATTATAAAAACAATGTACAAAAAGTAAAGCCATATTAACATGCTGAGCTGTAAGAGGCTCAAGTCAACAACTTCTGCTACTGGACTATATTGGAATATTTTGCTAAATTTGTGCACTTACAATATTTAAATGACAATGGAATACTCTTCTTTGACAAAACTAAACAAAAAAAGGAAATACAAATGAATGACCAATTTGAATCTGTATATTCAAAATAGGATAGATATACAGCTACATTCTCTTAATTCAATGAATGGAAAGATTTGTTCTCACAGTATTTGTGGACTGAATATCATGTCTGCATCTTGTACAATGAATAACTAGTAAGACAACAATGTGCAATGTATTTATTATTGAAACTGTCCTACTAATCTGTTTTGAATCTGTTTCATGCTATTTGTTTCTCAATAAAAGATTAAAAAAATACATTCTTTGATTCCCAAGTTATCTACCTTAGGGAAGAGTCATTTTTTCTTTATTTTCCTAGTATCTAAACAAGTGTATTATCCATGGATCCTTACTAAGCTGCTTGTTGAATTAATTACAATGTTTGTAGTTAACATATTGACTTTTCATTATGTGTCTCAGTTGATTATCTGAGATAATGGCTACATTTAAATTCACTTATTTGGGGAAAAAAATAATTGTTAAGGCTACAAGTCTTTTTGAGCTAAAAGTGATTCAGAGATCTTGGGAAAAGTCCTCTATGAGGATTTATGGGAGTGGATAATCTAATTTATATCTTTTATACAATGATGACAATTTAAATGACTTTTTAATATCTATATATATGTATATATTAGTTGTCTACCATCACACATTGACTTTTCCCAATTTTTTTCAATTTTGGACTCATAGAATAACAATTAGATTCTCGTCTGACTCCTCATGCATATTAAATATTGAGAAAGCCAAATTCACATCCTTACTCTTTGAGTTCTCGTATCATGTTCATATCTCATGTTGAAGATACTAGCAAATGAAAAAACAACCCTGTGTTTCTTGTTCTTTAACTCAAAGTAAGTACTTAAAATGTGCATAGAAATACAGTTGCTTCATCTTTTGGCATCTGAAAGGATCCCTGGTATAGAGGAATCTATGCTTTTTCATAAATAAAGAATGTACTTGCCTGTAATGTAACTGTTGAAAAACTCATGTGCACAAATCATCTCACAGAAAGTGCTGCATAACCTCTTTATTACTAATGAGAATTGTCAAAAATGTCATGCCCAAACTATAAATAAAAGGCAAAATAAAAGACAGACTACAGGTAGTAGGGAATTTAATCATTCTCAAGAAGGAACAAGGTGAAGAAATGGGAGGAGAGAGAAGAAAGGGGAAAGACAAAGATAAGACAGGAATTAAGGTGTACTAGACAGATGTACCAACTTCACATAATTTGAACATTATGTACTTCAAACTTGGACAAGAGATCACATGGACAGGAGATCCAGTGGATTTTGCTTGAGTGATAGAACTGGACAAAATGGGTGAGAGTTGAGAGTTTGAGACAGTACATTCCTGTCTGTGAGAAGCATTCACATTAATCAGTACTGACAGAAATTTATGCTGCCTCATGTCAGAGTCCAGGTTTTAGCACTGGTAGTTATGCAGGTTGCTGCTGAAGTGGTGTTGCTGAGTTGAAAGTTAGAAGAAATTGAGTGCAGGTAATTTATAACTTAATGTCTGTTTATAACAACAAGAGCTTACTGTTCAGCAAATCTCCTTGGATCTTTCCTGAATGCTTCACAGATTTCATCATTGGTTGGCTCCACATAGTTAGGGAACTCGGTCTGCTGGTGGCTTAGGGCAGCCATGCATAGCTTCCGCTCCAGACCCTCCTTGGCACAGCACTCAGGTGTGCCTTCATGCACAGGGAAAGGAGAGTTGCTCTCACAAGACCTGGTAGACAAGGCTGAAGTCTAGATCAAAAGGGGAAAAAAGGAGAGGTTGGAATTCCCAAAATATGCAAATTTATACCCTTGTAGTTTTCCATTTAGCATAATGTCTTTTTTTTCACTTGTACAGGTTTAAAATACATAATGTTCACATTATGTGAAGTTGGTACATTTGTCTCGTACACCTTAATTCCTGTCTTGTCTTGTCCTTCCCCCTTCTGCTCCCTCCTTCCATCTCTTGACCTTGTTCCTTCCTGAGAAAGATTAAATTCCCTACTACTTGTAGTCTGTCTTTTATTTTGCCTTTTATTTATAGTTTGGGCATGACATTTTAATTTGACAATTTTCATTAGCAATAAAGAAGTTATGCAGCAGTTTCTGTGAGATGATTTGTGCACATGAATAATTGAACAATTATGTTAGAGGCAAGTACATGCTTTACTTATGATAAGAAAAGGCTCCCCTCAGAGTAGGACAAACAATAGAACAGTTGTAATAAGTAGCCTATGTCTGACTGCAGGCACTAGTATTTCACCCCCTCACCCCATGACTGTCCATGGGGAGTTCAGTCTCTGAAGGTGATAGGGGAATTCTTCTTGTGGTTCCAGTGCCAGCCCCACTGCTTTTTGCTGAGGTTTCCCCAGCAGGGCTGAGGGCTTCCTCTCTTCACTTTATTAAATGGGCAGACTGTTGATACATCATTTTTACCTTCTACAACTGTTTGTATATTTAACCTAGAGTATGTTTTTGAATTACAGTTTTTCAGAAGGTATGTAAAAGATAAGCAATGCCAAAGTTACACAATTCAGAAATCTGGTTTAGTAGGTCAAAATAGGAGTGTGAAAATCAGTTTTTCCCAGTGTTTTAAGATGTATTTTCAAAACTGCACAGGTTGAAGACTGCTAGTGCACTCTGACTTCTGGCTTCAGCACTGCCACATCAATGAATATACACAGACAAAATTTTGCCTGACAGATGGTAGTAGTAGTGTTCATTATCAAAGAATTTGATACTTGAGATAAAACTCTAGGAAAGAGTTTGACATCACACAGCAAGAAAGACTAGAGGTAAGCTTTTCATCATAGAAAAACTATTTGGGCACTTATGTATGAAAAATATTTTAATGTCCTTGTCCTTATATTTTCATATATTGGTATTTCTAAGGTACAACTTCAAAAGACCCTGCTGGAGAAAGAAAGCAACCTGATAAATGGTTCATAGAAGTACATTTTTCATCCTCCCTTCTATCAACTCTCAGCACTTTTATTTTTATGTTTTCTCAAAGATTGGATGAAGTGGAGTTACTGTCTCAGCTACTCCAAGGCATGACAGGAAAACCTCTATGCCTTTCTGCTCTGGAACACTGTAGAAACAGCGGCTGGGCATACTCACCCTGGTATCATAGCAATCAGGTTCGGCCCCCTCAGCACAGCACTCTTCTGTCAAGGTGACGACTTCATGAACAAGCTGGCTGATCTGTTCAAAGGTGCCCCTGGAAAACTTCCTACTGTAGAGGACTAGTGACCTGAAGGGAAAAATATTAATTATAATATTCATTATATTTGAATTTTCAAGTTTTGTATATATTGAAATATAAGGAATAGTCAATTTCTAAATGGTATACTTCATAATTTACTTTTTTTATTTGACTTATTAGAAATGGGGTTGAATTTTAAAAGTAGTTTTCGTTCTAGGAAAGTTTATCTTGTAAGCAATAGAAATTGGACTTGAGATTTCCATCATACTAGCCCAATAATTATTGTAGGCTTCCTGTAAAATTCTCATTCTGTTCCTCATTACCTGTTTCCCCAAGTCCTATAATGTAGTATTATAATTTATGTCAGGAAACTATCCCTCAGTCATTCTCTTTAATCTCATTCATAAGTTTACTGGTGCCAAATTATTACTTCATAGTATCATAAATCGACTGGAATTGTTGGATGTCCCCTCTTTGGCTGGCTTTGCCAGCATGGGTAGAGAACTTTCACCTTCTCAAACATCAGTTCTACCTCTTCACTGCATGGCTTGCATTTCCTTTTGTTCAAGCTGAGTACCAACCAAGGGAGTTCTGTGGGTCAAGTGGGTACTGCACACTTACAGAGTTCTGAAGTCATCCTTTCCCAGGTGGGCGAGCTCCTTGCAGACTTTATCTTTTTCATAATCTCGGCCTAGATACGAGAAATAGAAAGCTCATCTTTTCCCTTTTAATGTCTATTTTTAAAAAATACGGATCTAAAGTGATCTTCTAAACAAAGAAAATTGTTATTGTCTGAATATTTATCTTAATCTAATTAAGGGGCTGTCTTCTAGATATTTTCATAAAATGGGTGATGACTTTATAAAGTGCTGCTATATTTTGATGAACAGCAGAAAAAATGAGCATGTTAATTAATATTGAGGGTAGATTAATCAAATGATTGTGTCAACTAGTTTCAATTTCTTAATAAAACTGTTACCTGAGGTCACGTCTTTATAATACCAAAATGGAAAGGTTTCTTCTTTTTCCCATTTTTCTCTATCTCCCTCCTCTGTCTCCCACCCTTTGGTTGTTTTAGTTTCACTTAAGGCTTAAACCAAAAACAGAACAGGAAATAAATGGAGGCTTCCAAAGAAAGGGGTAACACCACTAATGCAGGAGCTTAAAGGGGCTGTAGGGGAGCAATCACTGCCATCCATGTCCAAGCTCTGTAAGAGAAGTTTAGGAATTCAGCTGGGAAAAAAATAAAAATGAGCAATATATTTTTTGAGAAAAGTTTTCATTCGCCAAATATGGGAAAAGTTGGAAAGGATTCTCACTTCAAGCATAGCTAAATGAGTTTCAAGGAAGCTACTCAGAGATTTTGTTAGGTAGTGCTTGGAGTTTGAATTAATATGGAAAGGTGCCCGATGCAGACTGGAGAAATCTAAAGGGTGAGGGTGGATGGGATAGTTTTGGTCTAATGCAGACCAAGAAAGAGAAAAGTTGTGTACCTATCTCCTAAAAGGGGCTATCTGTAGGGCATGGGCTGCAGGCAATGAGGTTTTCCCTTTGGGAAACAGGGTCACAAAGGAGTGTCAAGGTGCCAGCTGGATGTGAGACATGTATTGTGAAAGAGATGGCCAAACAACCTGCTGAAAGAACACTCTAGTCTGTTCCCACATCTCTTTAATCAGGGGAAACAACAGGAGCATACCATGCTGCATATAAGTTAGTTTTTCCTAATGCTGCCCCTCCTAGTAGTTTGTTCTTTCCATGTGCTAATGCTAGAGGAGTTCCATACAGTCCACAGAGTGCAAGTAATGAGGAAAAACACATAGGACAGGCTTTAATTTCAAATAAACTTACATTGTCAAAGGTCAAACATAACTATTTCTTGTCAGGACTAAATTGAGGTTGATATTTTAGTGTTAAAAATATGAGGAGATTTCTTTTTTCTCTGTAAGAATAAATCATGACACATATGCTTCAGTTCATTCAAGAAAAAAGCAGCAGCCATTCTCACAGTAGATGAGTTATTTTCTCTTCCAAGACCCCTTTTGTCAGTGATTCTTTCTTTGCTTAATAATTTACACAGGTCAATCTTAGAAATTTTCAAGCTCTTGGATGCTTTATTATTTGAAAAGTTGTAGGAAGTATGTAAGTGGCCTAGTCTGTATTCTTTTTTTTTTTATTTTTTGACATCAGTTATTTTTATTTTAAAGAAAAAAAAATAAAATCAATGGTACAAAATCTCAAAACAAGATTTTAGGAGAGTGACAATGGCTAGTACATTGTGTATTGTTACTGCCAAAGTAGTTTCTCATATTACAAGATATAGGCAAGAAATAATAAATAAACAACACAGGTACAAACCTCTGTTTTTTTTTAAAGTCAACAGAAAATAGAAATATATTTTTTAAAGTTTCTAATACTAGGAGAAGATATCATACAATGTCTTTTAAATAAA